TTTAGCATCAGATTATTAACCTTAGTTATTTTAGCATCAAGTCCATGATTTTCTCACAAAAACAAAATTATCAATGCCTGCTATTATGAAGAGAAGGTTTATTTTTTCAGATAATCAATTGCTTAGTGATAAAAGTAACATCAGCTTAATGACAATAGCCCAAGTCAGTGTGGTGGTGTGGGATTTGAAGTGTGGTGTACAACTGTTTGGTTAGGGTTAAGTCATGAACATTCTTTTCTGAATATTATTCAGAATAGCAGTTCTTGGGGTGGGAGGCAAGAAACTGCCCCTCAGATACAAGTCGAATATTTTATAAATAACTTTCTTAAAGAGGGTTGTGATGATGTGATAAAAGTAACAATGATAGCCTCCAAATATCAACGAATTGATTGTTAAACGTCTCAGGCTAATCTTGGAAGAATAATAAAAGACGTCAGTTCTTTCAGAATTTTCCAGGTGCCTATCCTCCTCCAAGAATGAAGATAGGGGGAAAAGCTGCAAGCCCTACCAAATGTATCTTCAACACAGACAAAAGATCAGCGCTGACAAAGCCAATGTCCAAGAGACTTGCCTTTGGTCTTGACGTATTATGGAACTGAAAGTTTAGTCATTTGCAAGTTCTTTTGTATTATTATTTTCATTATTATTATCTGTGATAAATTTTTTCAAGATAAGATGAGTTAACGTGATGAAATGTTGAAAAGAATTTATTTTTTTCCATTTTTATCTCAGGTAGATAGTAGTATTTAAATACTGAATACATATATATATATATCTATATATGCATATATATATATGTGTATGTGAGTATATATATACATGTATATATATATATATATATATATATATATATATATAATTTTATATTCCTTTTCATACATAGAAAATATATATTTATATATATATTTTGACTATTCATTATACATAAATATATATATACATACAATATATAAATATATGTATACATCGGGAACTGTTTTATTACAACCAGCACTGACTGTATGCTATATATATATATATATATATATATATATATATATATATATATATATATAGGTAAAGAGATAGATAGTAAAGAAATAAAATAAAATGTTTAAAAAATTACCTTCTTGACAGTTTTTATGAAGCACAGCCTACAATTTGTCTAAATAATAATCTAGTTGTGTGCATATGATATATACATATATATATATATATATATATATATATATATAAAGTTAACAGTCAATGTTGAATTAGACTAGGAAACATTAGTATTAAAAAAGTGCTCAATACACATATAAAATTTAACATGTAGAGCCTTTAAGTATAGAAAATTAGGATATATATATATATATATATATATATATATATATATATATATATATATAGTAATTTCTTAAGAAGTAACAGATTCTTATTTCTTAATCTGAAGAGATTTTATTACTTAAATGTTATTTTAGTTGATACCCATAAAATAAAATCTGTCTGATTAATAAAAATCCATCACTTCTTTAGAAATTGCTTTGTCTACATTAGAATACAAAATTGCATTTATGAAGCATTATTCAACTTTGCTTGGTCATCAATGCACTTTGTGGCCAAGACAGTCTAAATCTATACACATCAGTTTTCTCTTCCAAGGGGAACACAAGTTCAATTCCTGCCAGAGAGATCATATTTTTCTTTAATAAGATTTCTTGAATATTCAGGATGGTAGACAAAAATAAATAAATATACTGTTTTATAAACAAACAGAGCATCAACTCAAATATTCTTAAATTCACTTCCATGTGAATACCTTTAGGAAAGGTAGGAATCCATCATCTACCCAGCAGTGGGTTACATACTAGGTCTTGTAACTAGAAAATCATTCTCAAAAACTGTTAAAGCAATATTCACTTAAAAAAAGAAGACTTATTCTTACAATTCAAAATAAGTTTCTGCTTTAAATAATTACAAAGGAGTTAATAAATCACAAAAAACAAATCTCAATCAATTCCAAGTTCTCCTTTATTAACTATGTTTCAGAAAACTCAAAGAAACACTATGTGGCAATTAAAAATTATAATAACAAAATGTGCACAAATTTTACAACGACACATGTTTTGAATAATAATGATGACAAAGTTTTAAAGACAATATTAATGTGAAATCTATGCTCCATGATCTGAAAGTAGCTTTCATTATTCTTCCACCATTGATTTTGCGAGATACCTTCAATTGAAACAAGTAGTATAACATCCAGATTAGCGTCCCAAATTTCATCTTTGTTGGCAACTTTGTTGTTCACTAATGTAAACTTTCATCTTCATAATACTCCACAAGTTTTCAGTTGGGCAAAGTTTTAGTAAATGAACCAACCTCTTTATCAAACAAATGTCTTCAAATTCATTTTATTTTCCCTGAATTTGATAGTACAATGTTGTGAATAAAAAAAATGATTTCCTTTTTGAAAGTATCTACTTTCGTCATGATTCATGTTTCTATGTATGCCAACAAACATTCAATGTCTGTATGAACTGTCATCTTAACACTATCTGGAACTTGCCATTGGTACACTGTTTTTATCTTACAATCTCTCAATCAAGCAAATGAACGACCCCTTCCTGCTTCCCATCAGTATGGCTGATGCTAACTGCCATGAGCGTGAATTGTTGCACCTTTCCGGGCTTAAATTATCGGCTGACATGAAATAGAAAGATTATATTGAATCCATTCCAAAATCTGTTGCTAAGAAATTTGGTATACTATGTCTTACTAGACAATTTTTATCACCTTAATCTATGTTACATATGTATTTATTGACCTACCTTTCATCCATGCCTTGGATATTGCTGCCACATCCAAAGAAGAATCAGCAATATTATCAGTCTTGATCTGGCATCTCTTCTTCAGTCACTTTCTCACCACCATAATGTAGCTTCCTGGGCCTTATCTCTAATTATTTTCATTGTAATTATTTGGATGAACTCTTTGCTATGGTACCAAGACTTTATGAATTTAAGTGCATTACTAGTCTTGTGTCAAAATCTTATCAAATTACAATTGAGCTGGCTAGATGTAACTGTAAGTTCTATACTAACATATTTTCTCACACTTTTCCCTTGTGGAACTCTTCCATCTCCATGATTTCCAGCCAACACCCATCTTCAAAAATTTAAATGTCATGTCAGTTGTTGTCTACTGTCCTCTTGATTACTTTTCTATTGTTCTCGCTCTTTAATGTTTCTCTTTGTCCTTATTCTTCCACACTCAGTAACCCCTTGTGTCATAGGGGCTCTATTGCCTTGCATGGAGTGATATGCTTAAAAAAGAAATCCCACCTTAAAACATTACACCACTTCAACTTTGATGACATCTCAACTTGCAACGACATTTTGAATCATTAACTGACCAGCCATTGCTCGATTAAGAACAGAACTGCTTTTAATTGATGAAAATAAGCTGAAAATCCAGTGTACTTTTGCCCATTTAATATGATTATCCATTATGAATGAGGCTTAGTGATTGGTCTCATATATAAATTTACATGCACATGCTTCAATTTAGCGGGAAGACCAAGACTGACTTTGCATTCCCCAACTCCCTTCGCTAATGGGAATAATCAATTTTTTCATGCTTCTACGGCAGTTTTCATGTAGTTTGCGACCATTTTCGACTGGCCAAAGTGAGAGCCTATAGCTGGCTGCCACGAATAGGCAGGAAGATTCTATTGGCCAGTGTGAGAGCCAACAGCTGACTGACACGAATGTTAACTAGCGTGCTAGCATGCAAAAAAAATCGATAGCTGCATTCGTCACAAGTGGGAAAATTTAAATCTACATGGCACTTTACTCCAATTGGCTCATTTGCTTGCATAAACTCAACATTGATTCTGATTCTGCTGAACTGGGTTGGGTGTGAAAAAGTATTTGTTGTTAACATTCTTTTTTCATTCAGTTTTTCCAGTTACGAGTCCTTTTTTAAAGCTGATCGTTTTGTGTTCATTTTGTTTAGTTCTTTTTTCGTAACAAATTTAATGTTTAGTATAGAGTTTAGAAAAAATTTTCAGTGTGAGATAGGAAAGAAGTAAGGCATGTAGCAACATCAGTAGGGCAAAGGGCATTCCTTTAAAGGCAAGGAAGGGCAAAAATATTTTAAGTCAAGTGATAGCGATTACTGTATAAGTCGTACGATTTTTAAATCAAGCACGGGCAAGGCCGGGCCATGCTGCTAGTACATGCTTAAAAGCTGAACTTTTACAGATTAATAATTTATTATATGCTTTAAATGTTTTGTATAATATTCTCTTTATGAAGTTTAAGTAAAAAGCATTTATTAACTTTTTACTTAATTGCTTAAAATTGTTAAAATTTAATTATACCTGCTTCATTTATCCCTGATCAACTTTAGTTTCTGAATTATTTCATATAGTATATAGCATCAGATAATATCTGAGGTATGTGACTTCTAATTTTTTAGTTTTCAACATGTTACCTGTGAGGTACAGTAAGTGAAACTGTTTTATGTTAGCAAAGATCAGCAATAATTTGTGTACATAATCCCTGGCCACTGGTAACCATACTTTGTTGCTTCATTTTCTCTCCAGACAGTATTCATTATTATAGTTACAAAAAAAAAAACAAAAAAAAAACAAAACAAGAATAACAAATGAAGACACTAGTTTGAGTTTTTCTTCCTTTTCTTTCTGGTTACTTTTGTTACTTTTTTTGTTACTTTTTTAAAAAAACTTTTTCTTTTTTTTTTTTTACTTTTGGTTACTTTTACATCTGGTTACTTTTCATTCTGGTTACTCACCTACAAAGATCAAATTGTGTACAACTGCATTTGGTTCAAATTAGTTCATTGAGTGAATTCCATTTTAGCTTTTCCCAGGAGAATCAGATTAGATTTTATGCTAAGTACTTCATGCCTTCTGTTTCTTTCCATTTTACTCTGCAGATTAAACATAATCTTCCTTTTGAGAGTTTAGCGATTTACAGAAAAGAAAAAGCAAACAGTAAAAGCTGGAGACTTACATACTTTGGCTCAAATGGAAAAGGAAAAAGAAGATGAGAAGAAGAAATAAAAGAAAGAAAAAAGAAAAAATGAAGACAAAAGAAAAAATGAAGACAAAAGAAAGATGAACAAGGGTGGTAGGGAGGAATGAATAAAAAGAGAGAAAAGTAAAAGAAACAAGAAGAAGAGAGGTAGTGGCAGGAAAGAAGAAATTGAAGAATAAAAAGAGTATAGAAATAATGAAAAGGAAAGAAATGAAAGAGAAGTAAAAGGAAATAAAAGTGAGGGGCAAAAAGTAAAGGTAGAAGGAAGTGAACAAATGAAAAGGTAGGAGGTAGCAAAAGCAAAAAGAAATAAAGGAAAAAGAAATGAAAGAAAGAAGCAGGAAAAAAGGAAAGATAGTTAAAGAAGACTTAGTTTTCCTTGAAATTTTATGAATTTACTTTTTAAATTTATAATAAAAAGACTCTGGAAATAAAACTAAATAATAATAAATTTTCTCTTATTCGCAGTAAAATCTTGCAGATGGCAAATTCTCTAGAATTTAGCAAATCCTATACAGTTGAAGATAAAATTGTGAATTTTAACCTTTAACACTCTGCATTATTAACATTACTTCCCTTTCCACTAAATTCTTTTCAGGGCCTCTCAATTGCAGTAATCTTATTGTTAATTTCACTCAAAGGTGTTTTCTGTTGCCATAGCAGAATATGAAAACACAACTTCAATGGCAGGATAAACTTTTTGCATAGCAAATAAAATTACATATATAGAGTGACAAAAGTTAACAAAAACAGGAATTTTTAGTAAATTTATTTTTATTTACACACAAAAACATAATTATTTTAAACAAACCAAATCAGACAAGGGTCAATATTATGACCCACCCCTTAAGAACTCTCCTTATTGTTGATTCATAACACAAACTACTGTTGTGTATTGATTTGCTTTAACTTATTAATACTCTTAGATTGTGAATTGAAATCAACCTTGTAGTTTATCTTCCAATATATGCACAACATAAGAACTAAAGTAAGAGTTGAACTGCCATTTGTGAAAGTGTTGCAAGTGGTATATTGGTTGCCAAACAGATATTGAATGATGGAAGACAAATTAAAGACATTAAGACAGATTAAAGTGCACTAGGCAAAAATATCTTTGTATGTTCATGCAGAGGGCATGAAAAGCATTGTTCTGAAAAGGACAGGTTTGTAGTCACTGAAGAGCGTTGTCCTGAAAAAGGACAGGTTTGTAGTCGCTGGAGAGTGTTGTCATGAAAAAAGACAGTTTTGCAGTCATTGGAAAGCATTGTTCTGAAAAAGACAGTTTTGTAGTCACTGAGGAGTGTTCTCCTGAAAAAGGACGATTTTGTAGTTGTTGGAGAACATTGTTCTGAAAAGGACAGTTTATTGCTTTTGGCTGGAGCTGAAGGCCTGTTGCTGATGGCTGGAGCTTTGAGCTGACTCTCAGCTGCTGGAACAGATACTACACTTTGGTCTTAGTCATTTGGGCCCCAAAACAAGGTATTTATACCGAGACTGGATGTTACACAAGGTCAGGTTTAATGTGGGGAGCCTGAGTGCGTACACTTAAACCAAAGACAAAAATTTCTTAGTCCCCACAACTGTCAGTTGCACTGGTATTGATATGACTACTGAACCTACCTCTCTAGTGCAATGGGGGGATGCAGTATCATGCAGATATTCCCTGGGACTGGACACCTCACAGTATTTTATTTTCTCCAATTGCATCTCTGTACAAGGAAAGAGCCACAACTGAGTCACACTCTGCCCAAAGACAGGCACAACTGAGAGATGATAATCCTCCCCCAACAGCATGTGCTGCAGAATGATAATTTTTTTTCACTGCTTTGAGGCTTTTTTATATCCTGAATCAGTTTTAAAATGATTGCTGATTAAGGTTTTTCTCCCAGTTGTTTTTCAAAAATGTGGGAGTTCAGTCAGCATACAAAAAAAGCGTTATGTCAAAAATAAAAGAAATTAGTTTAGACTTGAGAAAAATAATTGTTGATTTCCACAAAGCATATCGAAAGTCATCAAGGAATTTCCAAATGTCAAGAACAGGAGTACTAAACATTTTTGTTATGAAATGTTACTTATATAGTCTCTATGCCTTAGGTTGTCATTTACATATCACTACAATTATCAAAGTGAGCCATATGTTCACTTCTGGATTTACCTGTAGGCTTAGCAAGCTGAAACCTAGAGCCTTAAAATCTGGGGAACATCAAGCTAAGGTGCATAATATTTTTGACACTGTCATAGGCCTTTCTTACACATGCTATCATAAGGCATTGTAGACTATAAATAACTCTTCAGTAATTTGAAACACCTCTCATCATTCTCAGCTTTACTCAAATCACTTAATTTAACACTTTTCAATTTTCCTCTACTCGTGAGAGTGTAGAATAGCTTAAGGACTTCCTTAATCTAAATCCATCCCTGCATACATGTATTGAACAAGCCTGATAGAGGTAAGAAGCAAAATATATTTAAAAACTGTGGAAAGAAAATTAGAAAGTGATGTAAGAGAACAACTGCTAAGACATTGGGGAATGTTTCAAATGTTTCAAACTGAATTCTCAAAGAAGTAGTTACTAGAGTCCTGCACAAAAATGGATTGCAAAGTCACACATTAAGAAAAACATTTTTTCAGAAAAGATAAAATCATGTCAGACTGAAGAATACTAAGGACAATCTGAAGAAACATGACACATCTGAAACATGTCATTCGGACAGATGAGATGAAACTAGAGCTCATTGACCATAGAGATGTCTGTGTTTTGAGAAAGAAAGGAGAGCTGTATGACATAAAGGACACCACCCTCATAGTGAAATAGAGTGTTGCATAGGGGGTGCTTCAGAGTGTCTGAAATTGGGAATCTTGTAAAAGTGGAAGGAATCATGAAGAAAGAAGATTGATTGATTGATTTGTTTTGCAGCTTATCAATATTTTACAGGATGTATTGGGATGGCCAAGGACACATTCCAAAAGCTGGGCAGAGTATTGCAAGACAGGAGGATTTCTTTGGTAATGAAGAAAAGACTACTGAGTTGTTACATGATATCTGTCCTTCTTTATGGCAGCAAATGTTGGATGATTTCCTCAAAGATGAAAAAGAGACTCGAGGTGACAGAGATGTGGTTCTACAGAAGGATGCTAAGGATATCATGGACCGAGTGTGTGAGCAATGATGAAGTCTTAGAGAGGATGCAAACAAGGAGGTGGCTTATACTTAACATCAGGAAGAGGAAGCTGAAGTTCCTGGGATGCATAATGAGAAAGGAGGGCCTGGAGAATCTGATACTCACAGGTCGAATAGAGGGAAAGAGAGACAAGGAAAATAATGCATGACATACCTAGCAGCTTTAAGCAAGTGGATGACAGAATATGATCTGGGGGAGGTGGTAGAGAAAAGGAATGTTGAACGCTGCAAGGGATAGAGGGAGGTGGAGAGCCATGATCGCCTACATCCAGAAAGAACATGGCAGATAGAAAGAAAAAAAAGAAAATATTTTTAGATTGTAAGACTTTTTTGAGATAATAATGATTTACTGATACAAGTCCTACTAATTACCCCATAGCTTGAGAAGTCATACCTTTCCCAAAGTTATTTGCATGGAAGTGAATAAAATAAACCGGACTGGAATGGGAACTTAGATCTCAGAAGTATAATTTCTGAGCCGTTATCCATTACAACACCTACACATCAAAGCACCTGGTGCAGTCACCCATTTTGGTACCAACCATCCTCAACACATGTATATTATATTTTAATCGATTTCACTTCAGGCAAGACAGTAATGCCACTAAGATGAGGTTACTGGGTGTGGAAGAATTAGAAACAGAAACATTACTAATGATTGAGATGGGAAAAGATTAATCAGGAGGACAGTAGATAGTGATTGGCATTGCATTTAAATTTCTAGAAATTAAAGTCGGCTGGAAAGCATAGAGCAAGAAGGGAGTTCCACAAGCAAGTAGTGCAAGAAAAGAAACTGTCAGCATAGAATAATGTATAATATAAAAGTGGACACTAAGGCCAAAACCGAGCAATATGCACTCTTGTGCAAATTAATTGAAATAACCACTTTAGTTTCCTTTCTTTCCCTGTATGGTCAGTTTTAGACCCACTGGAGTGACAAGATGCAATTGATTTTTATTTTTTCCTCAGACTAGATCATTTGCAGTGGTGTGCAGTAGTATGAATCTATTTTTGAACTGTATGATGAAATTTGTTTGGCCTTGAAAAATATTGCCTCATCCATGATTGTATCAGATTTTGATCATACCCAGCCACTATTGTCATGACTGTCAATTAGTTGTCCTACAGCCATGGTCTGTGATAGACGTTAATTTTCACAAGGGTGTGTGTGTATATATATATATATATATATATATATATATATATATATATATATATATGTATGATGAGACAAGACTGAAGAAATGGTCTTGTGAAATAAAATGATACCATGGGTTTCTAAAGTCACCACTTTCATCATTATATATATATATATATATATATATATATATAGATAGATATATATTCAGTTTGGATATATATATATATATATATATATATATATATATATATATATATATAAGCAAATATATGGATATAGATCCGACAGTATGAAGAAAAATATACAGAAAAACAAACAAAAATCCTAATATGCAATTATGCTGTTTTAATGTTAATATAATGCCAACGTTGGACGTTTCGGTCTAGTCGACCATCTTCAGGACATATTCATAAAACATAATTAACATTAGACTATATTCAATTCAACATGAAAAGACGATGGACATAAGAGTAAGACTAATCAAAACAGATGGTCGACTAGACTGAAACGTCTGACGTTGTCATTATATTAACATTAAAACAGCATAATTGCATATTAGGATTTTTGTTTGTTTTTCCATATATATATATATATATATATATATGTAAAATAGATAGGTTAGTTAATAAAACAAGGACAAACGAAAGGGTCAAATGTAAACAATATGAAAAACATTTATTAAATAGTAACCATATGACAGAAATGAAGCACGCAAAAAAGGTTTTAATTCCTGAATTTTTGAACATGCCTGTGTCCTTCATCAACAGAGTGAGAAATAAACAAAGAAATGGGAATTAATCACAGACAGATGTTTTTGTAGACAGTGTATTTTCTAGTGGAAATCATATTAGTAAAAATTGAATCTCTGTCTGATTCCTTGCTGTGCAAAATTTTTTTTGAGAATAAACTTAAATTTAAAATTTTGATCAGTGTAAAAGTGTTAGGCTGGTCTATTAATATTAGTAGGTGGAGTTTGGGGAGTAAGATTGTAAAAATAGATTAGGAGAGTTAAATGTTGTGGAGAGGGAAAGACGTCTCATGGGTAGCCAGTTGTAGATGAAAATTCTTCGACCATATATATATATATATATATATATATATATATATATATACTATCTCTGACATTTAAACACTTTTACTTATAAATACTGCATACCTTAAAACTATATTTTTTCATATATATATATATATATATATATATATATATATATATATATATATATATATATATAATATTCTCTATTGTGTGTTAGTTTTAGTGTTTGTCAGCCCCATCTCCTGAAGATCATTCTTATGAATGTCTAAAAGAAAACCCTGACAAATGACAAACTCCATTCTCAGTATTTTTACTTAATCTTTTTATTTAATCTTTCTTTCAATCCATCATAATTCACACAATGACATGGAACGACTCAAAACAATGTGCCTATATTGCCCATTCATCATCTTCCCTCATGCTTAGAGCCAATTTTTCTGATATTCTCCAACAGACATCATCCTCACCCATTCATTTGCTGACCTGGACATTTCCACTTGCAGAACCCCACCCCAGAATATACCATCAGGGTATACAGGCTGACTGTGCTGACTGTTTTATGATTTGGACCAATAAAAGGTTAAAGTTCACTGTGATGTTTTCTGTCAAAATATTTTTGCTTTCTCATCTTTTTATCAAGTAATCAATCAATTAATCAATATATATATTTATTGCTATCTATCTACATATCAATATAAGTACATACACATTTTTGTAATAATTTATACATATATATATATATATATATATATATATATATATATATATATATATATGGGGGATATATAAAAGAGTGCTGAAAAGTTCTTGTGCCCAACAAATAATTGAATTACCTTGAGCCATGAAGCATACATACTATTTCACATATTCACATATTCACTCCCAAAGTTCAACACGCCCGGTACATTATTTTCCAAGTTTCTTTAAACCTTCCAAAATAATTTTCATGTTTGGCTGCTGAAAAAATGCACTATTCTCATCTCCAAATCCTTCAAAATATTTCCTTCCTTTCAAACCAAGATAAGACGGAACTGGGAATTTGAGTAAGAACCGAGATTATCTTGACAACAGAATTCCCAAAATCAACTAGAATACTGAGAAAAGTCCTGTTGGATTGAAAAACATAGCTGCCATGGGATCTCCAGTGAAGACCATTGGTTGTGTAGATGAAAACTTAAAATAGTTTCCTCTTTATTTGTTTCTTGTAATACTAAACTTTACCCAAGAACCATCCAAGGTAGAGCTTTAGAGTTAAAATGGTAATGCTAAATAAGCTGAATGGTAGAGAATATGGTAGAAACTGAAGATTATGAGGATAAGGAGAAAAAAATGACGATTGATCTTTGATTTGAAAAGGTCAAGATTGAAATGGTCAGTGAAGCATCTGTATGAGTCTGCCCCACAAAGTGGCAGTTCTTAGGTAAATTCTGTGTGTGTGGAACATTCTCCTTAAAATTGAAAGGAGAGATGAGGGTGATTCCACTCTGTGGAAGTGACATGATGTGCCTTGGCTGTAAAGGTCTAAACTGGTGGAACTAAAGAATGGTGATCATCTAAATATTTACCATGTTGCAACTCTTTTAATACCAGTGATGAAATATAGTCAAAGTAAAATTAATATATTCTATTTAAATAAAGGATAAATTCTTTGTCTTTTTTTATTGAATATGATTGGTTTTAGCATGTAGGTCTTAGGATTGCAAACAAAGTACTTTACCAAATATCAGGAAGACCATCACTTAATGATTTTCAACAGTAGCAACAACTAAAATGGATAGCACATGTAACTCAAAGAGAAAATAATGATATAATCAAGATATTCATATTCCACACTACTTCAAACAAAAGATTAGGAAGGAAGATTCCATCAATATTAGAAAGAGCAATTTGTCCTTTACATATTTGGGTCCTACCTGAAATGGACAATTGATATACAAAAAAGAAAAATAAATTGTACTTTGTCTCTTATTCTTATCATTACAATGTATTCCATAGTTAACAGTAAGAAGGGAATGTCCAAAAATTGTAAACCAAATTTTCCTGGATTGGTGTATGTGTTTATAATGGAAAGAGTCTCAATATAAACACATTTAAAAAAAAAAGAAAAGTAGTTGGATTGAAGTTATAAAAGTCTACAGCATTAAGTATAGTTCTAAAATAACTGACAGACAGACAAATAAAGCAACCATCACTCTACTTTTTTTTTTATTCAGGTTTGAGATATAATATCCGTTGAAAGATGATTGCTTTCAATATAAATAGATTAAATATAAACTTTTTGATATAATCATCAATATTTTTATTATTGCCTCCAAAAGGACAAATCTGATGAATAGAAATATTTTTTCAACTTCCATTGTATGAATCTCTTATAAAAACTGATTAAATTATAAGAAATGATAAAAAAACTCACTGAAATTTACAGCTAG